TTTCCGTGTTTTTTATTCTGGAAAGAGACTGACTGGCTGCGTAGAGGCGAGGCACAACAAATCTCTCCCCTGCAACGAGTGAAAAGTCAAGTGCGTCGGAGTAGCGCTGAGGCTTGCTGTGACGATTTGGTGTTGGGTGTCGCTTCAAGAAAACACAACACCGAAATTCCGAAATGTCGTCTGGCTGGCCTGCCTTCATCGGTTGAGTGGAAAAAGGAACTCTGGGCACAATTCGTGGCTCATCCTCGAGCCAACCGGACCCCTGAGGCCTCATACTCTCTTTGATCGGTGCCCTGGTAACCACCAGTATTGTAATTTTCATATTTAGCATTCTCATACCCCATCGGGAGAGACCAGAAGGGACTCTTTGAAGCCGTACATTGAAGAGCAAATATGGCCTGGCTGCAGTTGGGTGCTTCTTCTGAATGAGTGTTGCACCGTTTTTGCTTGGCAACACAAAAGCTGGCAGTCAGTCGAGTCAGAAGGGAGTGAAGGGTAGGACAGCGTTTGCAGTGAAATCCTCTCGACGAGGCTCGCCAAACAGCCACTCTTTCCTCGACTGGGTTGCAGTTGCGACCCCGGTCGGATTCGAGGCATGGACCTGCGGGCGCAGAGTTTCCCTCGTCGCCTTCTCAGCAAATAGTTGCCGAGGGGGCGACCTGCCCACTCGTCTCTCGTCCCAAAGGTTCGCAGCTTGAGTCCGGCTGGGGCTGACGACGAGACGATGACGTGAGACTGGACAAAGATCACCTCTTCACCCACATTCTGGGGTGGATACCAAATCAAAAATCGGCCAGACTTGACATCACTTGGGCTAGAACCACACGAAACACCGGCTCAGATACCAAAACCAGACTCTGAATGAAGTCCGCCTTCATCATCAGCAGTAGCAGTAGCGGTGACGACCGATAGGGCATTTGGTGTTTTCGAGGTGCGCCAAGTTTGGCCGTCCAGTATGACGAATCTGTCCGCGTGGAACGGCAACGAAAGCCTCCTTAACCATTCGCCTCCTCCACTCGGCTCATGAGATGCTCTGTTCCGACAGGCTCCAACCAATCTTGCGGATATCCGCTCCACTCTGGTCTTCTTCATTTCATTGTTGAGTTTGCCTCCATTTCGAGTGGAAGTGTTTGGTGCGTGTGGATTCCTCTTGACCAGCTGTCGATTGACTTTACTGGAACATTATTTGATGAAGATGTTAGAAAGTCCGTCTCACAAGAAGACCGCGGCCGATTTCGCTGGGAATGCAGCCGTTTGTCTTTACTACGACCGGCTGTGATGATGTTCGTCGAGTGGCATAACGAACGCAAGCTCAGCCAGTTTTCATCAGAAGCGATGCACCGCGTCAAAATGAAGTACGTATCAAAGCCAAACGACTGCATTACCGCGGAACTTAGCCATCGTCTTCTTAATGGATCGAGCAACGAAATGAAAGTCTTCCCAAGAATGTTATTTTAGGAGGTTCATCGAAACCCAGTCATCCTTCGTATCGAACATAAGCGCAGCCTAACATTGTTGGAAATAATCGAATGTATGAAGACCAAGATGGTGTGACCTTTTGTGTGGTTGCAGTCTTCTTTTGTTGTATAGAGGTTGTTTGACCTTGTTTTCGAAACTTGGTCATGTTAGTCATGTTGGATATAATGTTGGATATATCATGTTGGATATAATCGAATGTATGAAGACCAAGATGGTGTGACCTTTTGTGTGGTCGCAGTCTCCTTTTGTTGTATAGGGGTTGTTTGACATTGTTTTCGCAACTTGGTCATGTTG